CCAAAGCTGCATAAATATGTGCATTTTGTTGCTGTATCTTCTACTGCCTTCAAATGATGAGCACTTTCTCTCTCCTACCCCCACTTACAAAGTTGGCAAATTTTGACTGTTAGGCTACACTCAACTAGTTACATAATTTTCTAAAATAAAACTGTTGAGCCTCCAAAGTTTTTTACATGAGTATGATGCTATACCATAAATATAAATCATTCACCAAATACCAATTTCTTTTTCAAACAATATTTTTTTAAGAATTTGGTTTAAATTTATGAAAAATCCATAAAATTTGACCTCTTGTGACCTCTGACCCATTATCAATGACCCTTGACTTATTGCCATGCATAAATAATTTTAGAAATTAATTGTCCCATCCCTTTCCTCCATAAGGATATATAATGCATTGATATATCTTTCACCATATTAATGTAGCGAGCATTTTCTCTCCCCTACCCCAACTTGCAAAGAGGGGAAATTATGACCGTAAGGTTCACATTTAACTAGTTACATAATTTTTTTAAATAAAACAGTTGAGGCTCCAAATTTTTTTCATGAGTGTTTAACTATACCATGTCTACAAATCATTCACCAAATACCAATTTCTTTCTCTAAACAATATTTTTTAAAAGATTTTGGTTTTAATTTATAAAAAATCCATAAAATATGACCTCTTGTGACCTTTGACCCATTATCAATGACCCTTGACTTACTGTCATGCATAAATGATTTATGAAATTAATTGTCCCATCCCTTACCTCCATAAGAATATATAATGCATTGATATATCTCTAACCATATTGATGTAGCAAGGATTTTCTTTCCCCTACCCCCACTTTCAGAGATGGCATATTTTGGTCATTAGGTTCACATTCTTTTACATAATTTTCTGAAATAAGACAGCTGAGGCTCCAAACTTTGCTCATAAGCATAAGACTATACCATCTTTACAAATCATTCACCAAATACCATATTCTTACTTAAATAATGATTTTAAAAAAACTTTTTGGCTTTAATTTATGAAAAATCCCCAAAAATGACCTCTTGTGACCTTTGACCCATTATCAATGACCCTTGACTAATTGTCATGCATTCATGGCTTTTGAAATAAATTGTCCCATCCCTTGCCTCTATAAGGATATACAATTTATTAATATACCTGTTACCATATAGATAAAGTAAGTATTTTCTCTCCCCTACCCCCATCTAGAAAAAGTCCTTGCTGCTGCAGGGGTGGGGTTATATAAGGTGTGATAGCACACAAAAAGCTACCAGTATGAGAAGGCTATCACACATATTTGGGCACTAGAGACATAGGCCTTACTAAAAATCACTATGAAAATTTGGCCCTTTCTTGGTACCAAAAAAATGTCTGGCTCATGGACTATATGGGGCAAGTATGGGCAAGTTATGGAATCGAGAAGCTTGTGCTCGGTCACAATGCGCAATGCTTTCGAGTTATGGAGCCATGATTGGGCAAGTCAAAGATAATCCAGCATATAACCCAATATTACTACAAGCTTGCAATATAAATATTCCAGTTTCATTCTTTCTTTTTTTTTTTTTTTTTAGGAACCTTGCTTGGTTTCACAAACTGTGCAGCCACAATCCCAGGTTTTCTAGGACCACAGGTTGTTGGTATTCTTACAGATGAAAATGTAAGCAAATACCAGTATTCTGTAAATAACTGCATAACATTATTTAATCTTTGAAAATTCATTGTCATTCAGTATACGGTGTACTTGTGTCCCAGCTCCGCTTTTGTTCAGTTTGTTCTTCTGCTTGCATCACAGATATCTCAGAATGTTGGACATGAAAAATACAGTATCCGAAAAATTCCTTACTTTACCAGTTGAAATGATCAAGCCCTTACACTATAGATACAATAAGGCCTTATTCAGAAATGGGGACTAACAAATCCGCGGATCAAATATGACCGACCCACTTGAATGCTTGTTGTGTAATCCTTGCAGGAAATCTATTCAGTGTCTATTCCTGAATTAAGTGGCAAGCTTTTAAGTGGATCGCCATATTTGATCTGCCATTCTGTCAGTCCACTTTTCTGAATGCACTCTAAGAGTTTTTATCCTCCATTTTTCAACCTCTCCATTACCCAGAATACCATGGTCCAGTGGCACAAGGCATTTTACATATCATCTGCAGTGTACGCATTTGGTGCCATCTTCTACGTGATCTTTGGATCTGGCGTGGAACAAGGTTGGGCCAAAAAGCCACTCAACGCAACCAAGAATGTGCAGGAGTCCGTGACGCACTACGACAGCACCCACTTTCAGGGGGTCAACAGCCTTCATGTCCCACCATATACATCACCACATGCAAAGCCCATGCTGCATGATGACTAAGTAAGAGCTCATTCAGGACAGGGGACTAACAGATCTGCGGATCGAATATGGCCGACTCACTTGAATGCTTGTTGTGTAATTCCTGCAGGAAATCTTTTCAGTGTCTAATCCTGAATTAAGCGGAAATCTTTATAGTGGGTCGCCATATTTGATCTGGGAATCTGTTAGCACATGTACTGTTCTGACGGTGCTCTAAGGAGGGAGACCAAGAGTTGTGACTGTGCTTGTGGAACAGTTGAGCAATTTCTGGATCCCATTTTGTGTAAAATCTCACTTTAAAAATTATTACAGTAGCCCTGGCATTTGACCTTCTGAGATAAATGGGTCACTTGCCGATAATGTCTGATGTCAAAGAACGACATACAATTGTAACAAACTTCCCACGTAATGGATAAAAATAGCTGGTCCCAGTGGGAGGCATTAGAGATCACTCAAAATCTCAAAGGCTTGGCATAAAATCGAGGTCTCCTGACTTTGCACAAAATCAAGTGAGATCCGGAGTGGGATCAGAAATAATGGCAGACTTGCCAGTGCAGTGTGGCAATGGGCAAAAGCTGACCATATTTATTTTATTTTGTTTTTTTTCTATCAAATTCTGTCGAATCATAGGTTATTGCACAATTGTTCATTTCAGCTTTCTAAGACAATGTTCCTGGCTCAAAAAATTCACCATTCTCAGTGGAAAGTTTACTCCACATCATGCAAATTCTCAAACATTTTCACGTCACATGCTGATAACCTTTAGTTTATCTTGTATGATTCCCTTGGGAATCCTCTTTACTTGGCACGTGTTTAAACAATGAAACCATATTAATAATTTGAAACCACGTTGGTGTCGTGTGCTATACACAATACTGAATTAATACTTACAACTGATTAAAGCAATAATAACTCTTTGTTTCGGCCAAAAAATGAATTTTCCTGGAGTAAACAACAATTTTCCCATACTTACCAATGGTCAATGAATCCATTTTTACATTCAAAGTTAGTCCCTGGTTTTTTTCTAAAAAGTTTGGTTTTTTGTTAAAATCTCTTAAGAGATTTTAACAGAGTATAGCCATCAGTGGAGGACACGTGGTCTAAAGACAAGTTCAGATATCAGAATAAAAGCTATAACTGCTGTTTTTGTGGTAAAACAGAATAAATTATATTTCTATGAGTTATTCACAAGGTTTTTATTGTGAAATATAGATCTCATACGAAGAGTTATTATCCCTTTAAACTTTATTTATTGAGGGTGAAACAAGGAAAATATGTGATTTATCTTCCTTATGTCCCTCTTTGTGGTGCAGAAGAAACGGGTACCTTTATGTTTTGATGTGCTTTTCCAGGGCAAGTGAAATTTAACAATTTAAGGCTGTGCTTAGGATAGAAGTTATCATACTAGCAGGAGCGATCTCCCTTAGGCAGTGTCATTCACTAGTGGGCTAGATTTGGTTTTTAAGTGCAATTTAAGTTCACAAATGATCTTAAACGATCTTAATCATTACTGCAGTAGTCTTAAAATGGACTGAATCTGCTTTTAAGATCAAAAATGATCTAACATCTGCTTAAGTGGTCAAGCAGTTTCCTCCCCTCACAATAGAGGACACCTCTGCTCACAATAGGAGAATGTGTAAGGGGAGACATCTTAATTGGCTGTCAGACTAGAAATGGTCTTACTCATGTTTTAAGATCATGTAAGACTATTTGTGTTCTTAAATTGCACTTTAAGACCAAATCAAGCCCACTAGTGATTGTTATCAGCCAAGTTGTCAGACATGCCCCGTTGCAAAGCAACATGAACAACAGCATGGATCACAAAATTTTCCCCAACTTTCCCCAAGAACTTCAAGTAACAAGGGGGCATGTCAGGCAGTTAAGCTTATTGCATTGCTGGTGAGATAGATTGATCCTGCTAGTATGATAACTTTTATTCTGAACACAGCCTAAGAGATTGTATTGATCAATTACGGTGCTTTGATGAGGTACAAATAACATGGCCATTTTTTTCCATGTGTACTGTTGTTTTGGACATTATATAGATCACTTATATAATTACGATATCAGGGCATTCCCCCACTTCTTCCTGTTATGAATATCATACTGAGAATGGGCAATGTGATATTCAGGAAAATATGCCTGCCTCTATTCAAATGTAGACAGATAATCTCACTCATCTAGGCATTTTCTTCCACCTGTGTGAAATGGTTACAGTTATTTTGGACATTGTATAGATTACTTACTAGTAGTTCTGGTCATATTTTGAGGACGATTTTTTAAAGTATTCAGGAGTTTTTCCTAAAATGTTTTAAATGTTTGATTGTTATCAGATGCAAGTTCTGAAAGCTAATCTAAATCCAAAAAGTGTGAAAAGAACTTATTTCATATTTTTTTGATAATTGTATCAAATGTGCAATATATGTGACCACAAATAAAGCAATATGATTAACATATGGTGTGTTCATATTTTGGTGCCTTTTGCCCTGTTCTTCAGTGTGGTCAATTATGTGTAACATACAACATCCAAGAAACAATGCCATTTCTAATAGTGCTGCCATATCATTTATCACATAAATGCCGATTTGATAAATTTTTCGACTGTTAGATTTAGAGGTATAGGGTAAAAGGTACAAATAACATCATCAGAAGGTAACAAGATGGGTTTATTAAGAATACAGAGAGTGCAAAATCAAATCAATCCCCCCCCCCCCTCTTATAAAAACCCTCGAANCTTTTGACCTTTGACCCATTATCAGTGACCCTTGACTAATTGTCATGCATTCATGGCTTTTGAAATAAATTGTCCCATCCCTTGCCTCCATAAGGATATACAATTTATTGATATACCTGTTACCATATAGATATAGTAAGTATTTTCTCTCCCCTACCCCCATCTAGAAAAAGTCCTTGCTGCTGCAGGGGTGGGGTTATATAAGGTGTGATAGCACACAAAAAGCTACCAGTATGAGAAGGCTATCACACATATTTGGGCACTAGAGACATAGGCCTTACTAAAAATCACTATGAGAATTTGGCCCTTTTTTGGTACCAAAAAAATGTCTGGCTCATGGACTATAAGGGGGTAATTAACTACTAGTATGGTGCCTGCTCGGCTGACTGCATTTTAGTGTGAACCTCCAGGGAGTTAGGTCGATCTAAAACTTAATCTTTAGATCGATCTAAATCTCTGGGAAAGCACCCTTAGATACCAGTCAGGTAAAACTTATTAAACTTAAAAGGCTAAAATGCTTATCATGCCATAGTTCATGCACTTGTTTCCACCTATAATTTATTCGCAATTTTATGGATATTTAAAACATTTTATATTTTCAGACAATCATGAATGGCTGCATAATCCCAGGCACACCATTTGCTGTAGATTACTGGAAAACCAGAGGCAGCCCAGACACCAAGTTTTATTTTCTGTCACACATGCATGCGGACCATACTTCAGGATTGAGCCCATCATGGAAAAGCCCCATCTATTGTTCAGAAATCTCTGGCAAACTTCTGGTTGCCAAATTCAATATCCAAAAAGGTCTTGTGAAAACTCTTGAGGTGATTACCTAATTATTTTTTATCATGTTTTATTAAATGCTTGTTGAAATCTCTGAAACTTTGGTTTGCTATTTGGTCATATATCAGTACATTGCTCAAATGCTTAATTTTATTTAAAAAAAAAATCATTTTATCAATACTTAATCCCAGGTTGATTCGAAATCTGCCTGGATTTCAATCCGGTCTCGGATGTACCAGTATATACAAGTATAATCTTGTCATATATTTTATATAAATGTAGGTAGGCCAGAGTCATATCATTCCTCTGGATGAAGAAGGCATAGAAACTATGACAGTGTCCCTGATAGATGCCAACCACTGTCCTGGAGCTGTCATGTTTTTATTTGTTGGATATTTTGGTACCATTCTCTATACTGGGGACTTCAGGTATAGCACAACCTTCAAACCATTTGGTTTTATATACTGTAAGGTTTTTCTTTGTCTCCTGTGTAATGATGGTTGAAAAAGTACAATTGTTCTAAAGATATTAAACAGTTATGTTTTCCCACCAGATCTTACCTTGATGGAACAGTTTTGAGACCAAGGCCCTTGACCCATCTACAAGTATGTAGCAGACTTTAATACTGAAAGTCTAGAAATAAAAAAATATATTGTAGTCTGTCTGACCAAGGAAACCTATAGGACCTGAGTCAGAAAACACCATAAAAAGTAATGATGAGTGTTTCTGCTTTGTTATGAAAACTAACAGTAGTTCTATTCCTTATTTCAGGTACACCCCCGTCATGTTCATAGATACCCCTCTCTCCTCCAACCCCCCAGTGGACGTCCTTTACCTTGACAACACCTATTGTCATCCAAATTGTCATTTTTTGTCGCGAGACCAAGCAAAATCGAAAATTTTTCAAATCATCGCCGCACATCCTGAGCATGACATACTCCTGGGCATGAATAGCCTTGGCAAGGAGGACTTGTTGGTGGATATCGCCATGGAGTTTGAAACCTGGATTGTTGTCACGCCAACAAGATTGGAGATGTTGAAACTGTTGGAGCTGCCTGATGTGTTCACTGATGACAGACAAGCAGGGAGGATAAGACTGGCCCCAAGTCCACGTATATCTAAGGTGAGTGGTAAAAATGTAGATAATCATTGCTTCTAAAGTAGGCTTAATGTTTATGTGCCTCAAATATAAAAAATATGTTTAGCCTTTTTTGGAATGGTTTACATGTTTACTGTGATCACTACACAAGAAACAATAAAACATGTACTATACTTCACCACACTTTTGAATATTTTTCTTCTCTCATACATTTTCCACCAGACTATGTATAAGAGGGAACCGCAGGATTGAAAAAAAAAACAGTAGGAATCAAACTCTGTAACCCACCGAAATAACAGTAAGATTTTATTCTATTCTAGGAGTATCTCTCGAAACTGGATGAGTCGTACCCAACCATAGCTATCATACCAACAGCATTGTACACGGGGGTGGACTTCGACCCCTATGCCAACATGGACAATGTGTTCATTGTCCCTTACTCAGATCATTCTGCTTATCCCGAACTTCACGAGTTCGTGTCCAGAGTCCGGCCAAAGTCCATCGTGCCAATTGTGCAGGGGTCAGCAAGAGGGATACTTGGGTCAAGCCTGGAGGAGAGAGCGATATTGTCCTGTTTTGATGAGTATCTGGATCCTGTGCCANCGATTCTTCGCGGAATCACATCGAAGGCGTCGCTTACATAGATCCTGCAGACAGAAGTAACAAAATGTACACAGGTTCAATGTTACGACGGATCTCTTAGAAGTCAGAAACAGAAGCCTTGACGACATGCTTACGTAGCTTATTCAATATGCACATGCTGTTGTACAGGATGCATGTATGTAATAAAATATACATCTTGGTTAATATACATCTTTCTCTTATTATTATTATTGGTTCAACAATTTGTACAAACATGTAGGTATGTGACTGAGAAGGCCCTGTAATTATATTTCTTTTTTTTTTCTTTTTTTGCGCCAACCTGCACAAGTTCTCCAATAGTCTTTTAAAAACATATAGGGGTCTACTAGCATAGGCCTACCGTACCTTTGTGTCAGCGCATCTCGATCATATTCTAAGTGCGGTGGGAGATTATAATTTTGGGCCAATGTCACCATAAATTTTCGGAGCAAAGAATAAAGTTTAATATAAAGAAAATGCAGAACAAAGGACGTCTATGTAAACAAGAAGGGTCTACCAGAACATTGGTAGGGGCCGACGACTTCATCCTATCTGGGATAAAAAAATAAAAAAATAAAAAAATAAAAAAATAAAAAAAAAAGGGAGCTTAAATTTGAGATTAATAGGACACCTGAAACAAGTAGGTTTTTTTTTAAATATTGAATCAACTCTGTTAACATTTATGCCTACATTGTCACGAACCACTGACAAGCAGTACAAATCAGTCCCCCCCCCCCACACACACACACGTACACCTTTTTTCCAAGGTAGTAACAGTACTTTAGAATAAGATGTCTAAGACAAATAAGTTGACGTGAATATCTGACTGTTTGCATTTATATAAAGCATCCTAAATTTGCATTTCATGTAGCGTTTTAATGATGCCAGAACTACCGTTGTGTGAGAACAAGACAAGGAAATTTGAAAATTCTTTTGAAAAATTAATGCACATTGTAATATAGGTCTTTATCAACTATCAGCAAATCTACAGACACTCTCTGATATAGCTTTGTTAAATTAAATGAAACAATAATTATCAACGATCAGTTTAATCGGCGAGTTTTGACACTGGACTCAGCATTTCTATGACCTTGACCTCAAAAGCTTTGGTGTTTAATTCCGCATTCAAGTCTCGTTTCTGATTATTATGAAAACAATGCAATGGTGTCCATAAAGAGGGAGGAGAGGAGCGGTAGTGGATAGTGTCAACTTAAGCCGTAGACGAAGCGATATAAGATGGCTTTTCAAGCTCCTAATGCTGGCCAAGGTAATTTCTAGTATCAGAATCTTTCTATAACATGTATTTCTACCAATCATTTCAACATGGCCTGGTTTACCTGTTCAAAAATTCTTCACACCATCTCATCTAAATGTATCACGAATAGCATAGTTGCCTCAGTCAGCGGCCTTCCACATGCGAACGGCACAGTCTCCCGTTAGCATGTAAGGCCGCAAACTGAGGCAAGTACCATAGGTACCGCATCGATAACACAGTTTCAAGCTTGTAAGTCTGTACCATATTGTGAGTTTTAAGTTACAGATCCTATACCCCCCCTCATCTGATTTTTGCACGCTCAGCTTAATATTAGAAATCCTTCAATAGATATATAAGGGCTATATTAGGGACAGAAATTTCAAATTAACTTGTATTCCTTCATTTTCACATATAAGCTTTGGGTAACTTAAAATTGTCTTTGGCACTAACACGTTGTTGAACGTGGATTTATGTACTTTTCAGGTCGACAAAACAGGAAAATATTGGAAGAACTAGAAGAACAGAAAAAGCGACTGAGAATACAGGCTGCGAGCCAGCCATCTGGGGCAGCATCTGGGTAAAAGACAATTTTTTTAGAAACTTACTCAGAGAAAAGAAAAGTACACTGTCCCACACCAGTTAAGCAAAGCTGAAAGGAGCTAAATTGATTAATTTTACCAAAAATATGATAAAAATATATGATCAGATTTTTTCACCACTCATTATTGTCCCTTTATAAACCTCATTGTTCCAATATATTTTATTTGTAGTGCAGGAATTCAGCCTTCTATCCAACCATCACAAATGGTAAGATAATGCATATATATTAGACATGTTGATCATTAATAACTGTGCACAAGAGTGTGTTTAGTACTATTTGCAAAAGAATAAAATCGGGTTAGTAACATGCCTTTATGGTACTTATATACATAGTTATTTTACTCCCTAGTCTGGCATGAACATTTTAACCAGTACACTTATTTGGCATCATGAATGATATTTCTGTATGCCTGAATTACAGCTTACAATGGATAGCAACACATTGGCAGCACAGCAGAGAGTAGCACTTCAGGTGAGAACATTGTTATTGATAAGCAAGTCTTTGTAACTCACTTACTGTATACATGGTTCAGGGGCGGATCCAGAGATATTTCTGACAGTCTTCCACATTATCTTTGTTGATCCATCTTCCATTTTTGACCGTCTTCTGACAGAAAAAAATAGGTACTCATCAGTGTAAACTTAGAAATTTGACCGTCTTCCGGAAGACCCAGAAGACCGCCTCAATCTGCCCCTGTAGTTGAAGTTGGATATTCTGACTCAATCCATCTCAGATGTGTGCTATTATATTTGTTGAGATGAACTCTTTGTTTGTATTCTGGACAGAGGCCAATGGAGCTGTTTGGATTACAAAATTTGATGTACTGGTATAGTTACAGGTCACATAACGGAAAATGCTACAAACACATATTTTCATACGTTTGCAACTACGAGTATCTTCTTCGAATGTATTGGCAGTAAGGATGTGTAAGCATATTGCCTATAGTCTTTTCTGCAACTTGTTTTTTGAATTAAGTATGCTGAGTATGTCATAAATTGATCTAGCATTTTGTCTTCTTTTACACACAGTGCGCTTAAAATAATATGAAACTACATATCGTGGCTTTCTTTGTCCCAAATGTACCCATAAAATATAGCACAGGTGGTAAGTTTACTTATGCCTTGGTTTTAGAGTGCAATTTTCCCACATCTGTAGCAAAAATAGCTTTTGTATATAGATCTCAAATGGTCTATAGTTTACTCTGAACATCTAAGTAAATGTATTACCACTATCTCCATTTCAGCATGCCCACCAGAACTCAGTGGGATTTTTCATTACTCAAGACTCTTCATTTGGGAATCTCATTTTACCAGTGTTACCAAGGTGATACCTGTATACAAGCAAGAGACTGAGAACTATAAGTGGAAGAAAATTATGAGGAAAACCTATTCTTCTGTCTACACAGAAGTGCTAGTATTGCAATTGTTTTCATTGCAAGTGTAATTTTGTAAAGTGGTGGAAATGACCTAGGTGCCAGAGCAGTTTAACAAACAACTTATCAGACGAGCAACATTTTTACTGATTCTGTTAAATTATGCGGAGTTGTGAACCAGGAATTTCAAGATTAAAATATCTCAAACATGAAGGAATAAGATAAGAGTCAGCAGCTGGAGAAATGCAGTCCAAATACCTTTTCCATTGTAAATGATCGTCTACTTTTTATTATGGAAATTGTGTATAGCATCATGTGATAGAGATTGGTTGGGCAATTAATGAAATGTTTCATTTTAGTAAGAAGTGAACTATTTTTTTCATTATTGAATGTGGACATTTTCCCCTGGCTATTTCAGAAAATATTTTTATAATAATAGTGAACAATTTTATACAAATGTACCAACAGTTATGATTGAAACTTGGAATAATTGACATTTATACACATTTGATGGCTAGATATGCTTACATTTTTGCAAAAATTGACATTTCTTTATGCTCATTTTGGAAATTGCTCTTCAAACGTTAAATGTATTGATGTCATATTCTTTAAAGAATATATTTATGATGATGATAAGCAAACTTGGTTTTTGTGATGAATGATCCATTGCATTCAATGTTTTTTATATGTACAGACAAAGATATGTCTGTACAT